GTTACCATAAATTGTAGATCCATCCATTCTACAATTTAAGAGATAAACCCATAGGTATAAGGTGCCTAGCTACTGACCCCCTTTTCCTCTGCTTTTAAAGTATAATGATATGCATTTTCAAGCTTAGAAAGGCAAGTGGATCTTTTTATCTCGTGAGCTCCCCTTACCTAAGGCTTCTTTCACATCACTTCCTTTAACTCTCTTAAGTAATACTCATCTCATCACAGATGGTAATTCTCAATCCTGACAAGTAATGAGCAGTGCGAGTTTTTCACTTGTTTCATAGAGGGCAAATCGAACTTCTAGACGTTGTGGGTGTACCATTCAACAATAAGGACTAGTTGATGCAAAGTTGCTTACTATATAACCATTCGTATTAAAGCCAAAATATATTCCGATTGCCTTCTAATTTCTATTATAATCTGCTGCACATTGGATTTGCATGAGCTGTTATAGGTTTAAAGAAACTTCCTTCTGAAAGGTTCATTGGGTCACGGTTCCCTTCTAATTCGTCCGTTCAGGCTTCTATGAGATATCTATGCAAGTTTCTTTGGTCTCTTGCATAAGTAGTTCTATTTTCCTTTGCATCTCTTGCATATGTTGAGAGTTTGTATCCACATAGGTGTTGAATATTTGACCTAAAAGCTTGAGCCGTTAAAGAGGACCACATGTATATTATTTAAAAATTGTTTTCAACATGCCCCTTCACATGTAAATGGGGAGTTATTTTTCCTATGAAATTTTGACAAGTGCACATTTCATCAAATGAGTGACGGTAAGATTTGAACACAGGACCTTTGTGTGCTCTAATACCATGTTGAACTATTTGATCTAAAAATTTGAGCCGTTAAAGGGTACCACATTTATATAATTTGAATATGACATCTGAAACAAAATTCTTGATTGTCTCATGGCCATGATAAATTAAGGTTATTGGCCCCTACTATATCAAAATTGATGACAAAACAAGATTAAACACCAAGATAATAAGTAGAGGAAAAAAAGGTTAGTGATGGAGATTGAAGTAGATGCTACAGACTCGGTGCTTTGACCTTTATCCNTTCTACAATTTAAGAGATAAACCCATAGGTTACCATAAGGTGCCTAGCTACTGACCCCCTTTTCCTCTGCTTTTAAAGTATAATGATATGCATTTTCAATCTTAGAAAGGCAAGTGGATCTTTTTATCTCGTGAGCTCCCCTTACCTAGGCTTCTTTCACATCACTTCCTTTAACTCTCTTAAGTAATACTCATCTCATCACATATGGTAATTCTCAATCCTGACAAGTAATGAGCAGTGCGAGTTTTTCATTTGTTTCATAGAGGGCAAATCGAACTTATAGACGTTGTGGGTGTACCATTCAACAATAAGGACTAGTTGATGCAAAGTTGCTTACTATATAACCATTCGTATTAAAGCCAAAATATATTCCGATTGCCTTCTAATTGCTATTATAATCTGCTGCGCATTGGATTTGCACGAGCTGTTATAGGTTTAAAGAAACTTCCTTCTGAAAGGTTCAATGGGTCACGGTTCCCTTCTAATTCATCCGTTCAGGCTTCTATGAGATATCTATGCAAGTTTCTTTGGTCTCTTGCATAAGTAGTTCTATTTTCCTTTGCATCTCTTGCATATGTTGAGTTTGTATCCGCATAGGTGTTGAATATTTGACCTAAAAGCTTGAGCTGTTAAAGAGGACCACATGTATATTATTTAAAAATTGTTTTCAACATGCCCCTTCACATGTAAATGGGGAGTTATTTTTCCTATGAAAGTTTGACAAGTGCACATTTCATCAAATGGGTGACGGTAAGATTTGAACACAGGACCTTTGTGTGCTCTAATACCATGTTGAACTATTTGATCTAAAAATTTGAGCCGTTAAAGAGTACCACATTTATATAATTTGAATATGACATCTGAAACAAAATTCTTGATTGTCTCATGGCCATGATAAATTAGGGTTATTGGCTCCTACTATATCAAAATTGATGACAAAACAAGATTAAACAACCAAGATAATAAGTAGAGGAAAAAAAGGTAAGTGATGGAGATTGAAGTAGATACTAGAGACTCGGTGCTTTGACCTTTATCCNNNAGACTCGGTGCTTTGACCTTTATCCCAGCAAACCTAAGTTTTCTGTAATGAAGTTGAAGTTCAATTGTTATTTTTGCTGCAACTGTTACTCTTCAACCCTTAAACGACTTCAAACCTATTCTAACTAGGGAAGCTTAAATTGCTAGGCAAAATCCTGTGACTGGGAATGCTTAAACCACTTGGATAAGTAATCTTAATTCTAGCTGGTAACCTAAAGCATACTAATTTAAGGCCCCTCAGTGTGATTCCTAACAACTAAATTAGACTCTAATATGAAAGAATACTAGTCCTAGAGGGATTTAGAAAAATTAACCATTGCTCCTGGATCACTATCAACCAGTTTTTTTTTCTTCATTTTCTTTTTGGTCAAGTGTTCTAAAACAATATTAATGATATGTTGCAGTGGCAACCACAAATTGGTCACCAAATATGTCTTCTTTCTTCATGCGTTATCATCTTGAGGATATCTTAGAGAACCTTGTTTTTGAAACAGACCTATCTTCAATCCCTCACAGTTCGGCTCGAGGAAATGAGGGTCAAAAGACGCGACTCAGAGCAATGGATGCACCACAGAGTCCTTCCACCTGAACTGAGGGATAGAGTGAGGCGTTATGATCAATACAAATGGCTAGAAACAAGAGGAGTAGATGAGGAAAGCTTGGTCCAAAGTCTACCAAAAGACCTTAGGAGAGATATTAAGCGGCATCTCTGCTTGAATTTGGTCAGAAGGGTAAGTGTGATTTTGTCATTGAAAATTATATGGTCATAACATTGAGTTAACTGGACTAGTTAACTATATTTATGTGCGTCTTGCAATTCTGCTCTCTTTTTCCTCCTCTAAGAGAAAACCTAATTTCACAATTTACTTGGTCAAATAACTACAAAATTTGCTCTGTGCTCGACTTGAACCAACACAGAAATCAAGATCAGGTTGCAGCTTTATTTTTTGTGTAAAACAATTTCAAGAGCATGCAGTTACAAGAAAATAAATGTTTGTCAAATTGCTTCTTTCATGCAATGTTCTAGCCATCGTACATGCCGAATTGGTTTATTTAATCTTCCTATAAGGATCTTAGTTAGTAAAAGATAATCTGCCCTTTGATGATTCTCTATTGTTAACAAGTATAAAATGTAATTTTTTTAGAATATGTTATATTTTCTGCAATCTATTTTTTGCTCATGAACATAGCTGAATGGGTTACCTGGGTAAATAGTATGTTTCTACATGGATCTTAAATGAGAGATCATCTGCCTGCAATTCTACACGGCTAATAAATATACAATTCAGGTTCCTCTTTTTGCAAATATGGATGATAGATTGCTTGATGCCATTTGTGAACGGCTTAAACCGAGTCTATATACAGAAAGTACATATATAGTTCGGGAAGGCGATCCAGTTGATGAGATGCTCTTTATCATCCGTGGTCGTCTGGAGAGTGTAACAACAGATGGTGGCAGATCTGGTTTTTTCAACCGTGGTTTCCTTAAAGAAGGTGACTTTTGTGGGGAGGAACTCCTCACATGGGCTCTGGATCCTAAAGCCGGTTCCAACTTACCCCCTTCGACCAGGACTGTAAAAGCTTTGACGGAGGTGGAGGCATTTGCTTTGATAGCTGATGAAGTAAAATTCATCACGAGTCAGTTTAGGCGCATTCACAGTCGACAGGTTCAGCACACGTTCCGTTTCTACTCGCAGCAGTGGAGGACTTGGGCTGCCAGCTTTATCCAAGCCGCATGGCGCCGGTATTCCCGGAGGAAAAATGCAGAACTTCGTCGGAATGAACTTGAAGATGAAGGTACAGACACTGAATCAGTACCTGGTACATCTTCCAGTTTTGGTGCAACATTTGGTGCAACAATGCTGGCGTCAAGATTTGCAGCTAATGCTATGCGTGGAGTTCACAGGCTTCGTAAATCAACTTCTACAAGGTTGATGAATTTGCCGAAGCCCCCCGAGCCCGATTTTGAATCTGATTCCTAGCTCTTTTCATTAGATGATCGCATGATTATCTGCCAACTTGGTGAAAATTTGAATGTGTTTTTTATTTTTTTATTTTTTTGTTCCTTCTGCTTTGTTTTGTGCAATGTATCTAGCGACTAGCAGTAACACTTAGCATAATTTACAATAGAAATATGGCGAAGTCCATGCTAAACTTAGAATGTATGTCAGATGAATCACCATGCAACAACGATTTCTTTACGTGTGTCGAGAAATTAAGAAATTTTTGAGGGAGGTCTCCTCAAGACAAACATGAAAGAGAGGACAATTTTTAAATATATAGAGCATTTTTGGTGGTGAATCCCTAGTTGCTTCTCACCCTCTAAGTCCCGTAGCTTCCGTTTTGCAAAATTTATAAATTATTTAAAAAATCGTCAAATTTCATTTTCAACCACACATTTCAATGTATTTAAAAATATTATCCACTTACATGTTACTCATTTATTTATAAATTAAATCATTAGTAAAAAAATTTCCAAACGGAGGCTTATTGATTCTACGTACGGTTAGTGTTACATTATTAGTGTGAAATTTTTTATGTTTGGTTAGGATGGAGCAGTTTCTATTTATAATGAACCTAAGAGTGAGAACCTGGATCCACAATCCTTCCATATCTATGTAAATGAGCATTTGGGTCACTGTTCAATTTTTTAAAACGTGAATCAAAACTTTAAGTTTTTATTGTAAGTAGATCTCTGAAGACGGGATTCCACCCACAAAGATTGTCATGGAAATAAAAAATGAGGGACGCGCACTCGGTGATACACATAATACAATGGTCAGAACAAAGGGTCGTGATCAGACAATTATGATCTGACTCCAAAAATTCGCTTCAAATTGCATTCTCTCCAGGTCTTTCACACAAAATTCCCAAGTACGAATTTACTTATTGATTAAGGACTCTAGTCACAAATTTCCCCCATCGACTATGTATTGTGGCGCTAACAAGAATCATATTCTTCTTTGGCTAGTTCTCCAAGTTCAGTAAACAACCCGTGTAATAATTCATAAAGAGTGACATCTAATTATATGAGCCATATGTTTATGTTAAATGAGAACGAACATGTAAATGAGATTGCTCTCTACTCGAATCCACAGTGACAAGCAATAAAAACACCACCTTCCCGGCTACTCCAGAACATTCCAAAATGCTAATCTTCACTCGTACATTCCTTTTCCTTCCTTTTGTGTTTGTAACATCTTGAATTTTTTGGTTTTGAGGCATGATATTATTAGTTGTTGATTTTGTCTCTCGAATAATTTTATAAAATAAAAGGAAAAGTTTAATAATAACGAATTGAACTTACGTATAAGAGGCAAATAGAAATTCGACAACTCACATTTTGGGTCAAGTTCAACTTTTTGCAATCTTCAACATAGGACATATTATACACGCCTGTTGATTGCCATTTTACTAAATTGTCTTATGTACGTATATCTCTACATGAAAATGCTAATTGATCTTCGAGTCGTCTATGAAATAAAGTGCGAGATTCTTTCGAGATTTTCTTTAGAATTACGCAGAATTATGTTTCTTAGAGCTATCAGTTGATCACCGATTGCTCATGAAGAAATGATGGTATGCATTATTGAGTTTTACATTGATAACATCATATGGTATTTGTGAGTACATGTCCAGGGTATTTTAATATTTATTT